ACTGTGGTTATGTCAATGACATTTAATACAGCCTTAAAATGGGCAAATAAAATGTGGATGTACCTGGCTTCTTTCTCTATGTTGGTTTTTTTTTCCAATCCGACTATTGTGTGAGGCTGCCCACCTTGTTTAGCTGTGCTGGCTGAAGCTACAATCCAGAAAAGTCCATACTGCAGATCATACAAACCAGTATTTGCTGTCAAGTTACATGCAGAATAATTTCCTGATAAACAGTTAATTGATTACAGAAGAGGTAGAACCAGCTACCGACAGATATGGCTCATCAGTGCAGCAAGATGGTGAACGGAAAGCTCTCGTGCTTCTAGTCAGCAAAGGAAATGCAATGAAATTGGGTAAACAGTCCCTTTTTATTGTAGTGTATGAGACATTTCCGCCGCCTGTCCACTATCTTATCTGGGTTGTTAAGCGTATATTTCCTTTTTAATCTCTTGTTCCGCAGGCGGCAAGTTTGCTTTTCTTGCTCACTGCCACATTGACCGAGTTGTTTGACTTTTGTCTTATCCCCACCCAGCCTCAGGAGCAGTGAAGTGTCTTCATGGCAGTTCGTCGAGGACACATTAAGTACTTGAAAGTGAGTATGAGATCTCAGCTCCCGTTACCAACATTTCTACCGTGTATGACCTTATCAACTGATTGTTAACAGTACAATCAGATGTTTTTGTTGTTGATGCCGTTGAACTAGAAATAAAGAAAAAAACACACGCGCCAGCTCCCACCGGCTATGTCCATGTGTACTGGTTTAATACAGGACTCTCATTCATCCTCTCAGGCGGTGTATCTTACCCACCAGAATACACAATCGCAACCCTTCTCTAGCATGAATGGACCTCTGTCAGGTTGACCGCTGGACTGGTTCCATTTTCAGGCCTGGACACGCTCTGCTGAACAGATAGCGGTAGCCACTTTTTAAAAAGTATTTTGAAACCAGGCACAATTCTAGTTGTGGCCACTTAACATTGTTACCTTAACTAATCTGAGACCCCGATTATCAGACTAGACTGCAGAGTTACTTGCCTACTTTGCAAATGTAAAACGTGTGTGTGTGGTCTTTATACTGCCTGGTATTCCAACTTGGCTTAGTGTAAACCACTACATTGACACCTATTTGCAGCTTAAATCCAGTCACATGCTTGTGTAATATAATTAGTTACCACTGTGTGACTTTGAACCTCAGTGAAACCCGGTAATTGCGCTGCTTGGACACACTTTATCCCCATTTGACCAAAAAGTACCGTGAACTATGGACTCAGAAGAGCCAAACTGGAAACTAAAGGTCCCTTTTGTACATTTTGTTCAAGAACCGTGAAGATTCTTCAAATTAGAGTGCTGACTGTTTAAAACGGCGGCACAATTTAAACAGAAACACGTGGAAACGACAACACATAGTCCTGTTGTTTTGTTTTCTTTTTGTATTAACTGTCATGTGATTTTGGTGTTTGAGTTGGATCTAACAAATGAATGGAAATATATACAGTGTTATGATTATATATTTCAGTTTTCGTAAGTGATTCCTTAAACAAATAGTTTGATTTCTCATGTTTACTTGCTTTGTTCACTCAATGCAGCTCCCTCTCTCTCTTGTTAACTCAGGTTCACCGCCCATTCACACACACTCTTCCTCTTTCTTTCTCTTGCTCTTTTAAAAAAAAATTGTCATTGTTTTTAACATTAAGCAATAAGAAATGTCGACTTCTCGTCCTAAAGCTTTACTGCAGTACTTCTTTTTTTTTAATGAATGAAGCTGCACATGAGTTGGTATCTGTGTTGGACCAGTCAGTCCTGCAGACTCATAAGTTCCTGAACCTTTGGAAAGTAGGGGACTTTTCACGCTTTTTGAGTAGATTCAGTCGACCAGTCAACTGATTATTCTATTTCCCCTTTTTTAATGTTTGAGAGAGTAACCACAAACAGACTCGTCTTTTGAAAGAGCAGAAATGGTGGCGGGGAACATCTTTTAATAATTAAATATTCCAGACGGCATGCACATGTCGTGTACTCACTGTATGCTGTAGTTTGTGTGTTATTGTGTCCCTGTCAACACCCGTGAGTTGAGCCGTAAACAAAACAAGTTGAAGCATTAAACGAGAGGGTTGCTGGTTGGCAGGATGGCCTCGTTAAACGACGTCTGTTGTAGGTTAATGTTAGCCATTTTATCGCAGGACCAGAGCTCTGCCGCGGTAATGTGGGAGGGAGAATGTCGCCCAATTGGTAGCACTGTGAAATATTGGACGCATATCACAGTGTATTTGCTGACAGTATGTTGCTGCTAAATAAGATGGGTTAGAGGTTGTCATTCCAGAGAAAGCAGGTTCACACTGTTGAGGACGACCAGCGGATTTTTCTGAATATACCTGAGTTGATTCGCATTCATTCATTCATCATCATTCATTCATTTTCATTCAAATTGCCCGACCCTCCAGTCACAACAGCTCCACTCCTCGCCCTAGGACTAGGTACTGGGTGCTTAAAACTGTAGAGACCATTGAAATTGATATTCAAAATTTTCCCCAAGACAATGACGCCATGCGTTCTCCATTTTTAAAGTTTGGCCACCAATGCCCTTTAGTATGAATGAATGGAATTAATACCAGAAAACTATAGATTTGCTTTTGTTGTTGCTGGGTCTTTGAGACATTAAATGATCGTGGACACAAGCTTACGATGATTTGTTATATTTCTAACTGTTTTGTTTCATCTGGAGTTTCTTCAATGTGGACCGTGATCACACTGGTGGTTATGTCAATGGACTTTTTTTCTTAAATTGATTTTTCTTTAGTGTCTGTCATTTCTTTGTAGAAGAGTCTTTAGGAACTTAATGGTCATTTTCTGTATCCATGAATCTATAACATCCCCATTATAGATTCCCAACATATTCAAATTGCTTGTCTTAATCCACAAACAGTCAAAAATCCAAACATAACCTACATAAGAGGAAATATCAATTTGTCAAATGTTAAATGTTTGGCTTTTTTGCTTTTAAAAATGACTGACGAAGTCCACACACGGTGGACGTTTTTGTTCATCGGCCAATCGTCACAGCTCTATCTGTATGTGCCCCGTGTGCTTACCTTGCTTTGTGTTTTTTCGGCCCACCTGGCTGACCTGCAGGAGGTGTATGACATGTCAAACGGTTATGAAGACCACATGGGAGGGGACGAGGGGAAGGACGCCAAGACCAACCTGATAGTGAACTACCTGCCTCAGAGCATGACGCAGGACGAGCTGCGGAGCCTGTTCAGCAGCATCGGAGAGGTGGAGTCTGCCAAGCTGATTCGAGACAAAGTTGCAGGTATGATACACTCTAAAGTGATAAGACCTGTGACAGACCAGATCGACGCTTTTAACACGAGATTTTGTTTTAAATGGCAAAAGATTTGTGTTACAGACTTAGAAAAAAAAAAGTTGTGGCTACAACCTCCTGAATATGTCAGTGGTGGTTCAGCTTAATGACTTCGCTCATTTTCAAATAACCTTGTCTTTATGGGGAGGATAATACTAAAGCCCCGTGTTTTGGCTCCTCTGTGATTTTTATACTGTAATTTTTGTTTGAAATATATCCCAACTTGTTTTCCTGCTTGAGTTGGTCAGTAGTTTGTTCAGATTTTTTCACCACCACAAAGGTTTTATTTATTCCAACCAGTCCAGCCCTGTTTAACTGTAGACAGTTTGTTTGTTTGTTTGTTTGTTTAGACTATCATGCAATGTTAAGATTTGTTTTTGTTTTTAAATATTTATTTGTTTGCAGATTTTTTTTAACTATACAACGTTTTTTTGTTTTATTTTATTGTTTTCCTTTTTTTTTCTCTAGGCCACAGTTTAGGGTACGGATTTGTTAACTATCTTAACCCTAGTGATGCAGACAGAGCTATCAGTACACTGAATGGACTAAGGCTACAGTCCAAAACTATCAAGGTAACGTGCAATAAGGTGTTCTACAATTCTCAAACCAAAGATGTCATGTCATATAACACTCCTGTGGCTCCTGTGCTGTCCGCTAACTAGCTAGTACATGTCAGCCCGAGGAAGTGATACTGCTTTTTACAGCTCACTTACTGCCCTATCTGACATGTCTGTTGAGTTTGACTTTAATTTTATTTGACACATTCTGTCAAATTCAATGTATTTCATGTATTTAATTCCTTAAAAAAAAAGTACCCCTTTGATCAGTTTGATTTCATTTTTTTGTTGCTGTAGTGTTCTTTTATGCTTCTGACTCCACTCATTTTGCTCAGACCAAAGACTTGATACTTTTTAAACCACTTAGATGACAGTTTGCTTATCAGATCATTTCATTTATTTTTGTAACTTTTTAGTTCAAAAGTGTTGCTTTTTTTAATGAATAGACAAACCCTTTCAGATGAAGGAGTTGATGATCGTAACTTATAAAACACCTAATTATAATTGCCATTGTAAATCCAAAAGAAATGTTACAATTTCAAACAGTTTGATAGAATTAAACTAGTATTTGTACTTTGATAGTTTTTTTGGTTACTTTGTTTTGTACATGAGTATCACTAGAGTTTTAATCAGACAATTGTTGCTCCCTGTTGCCAGGTTTCATACGCGCGCCCCAGCTCTGATACAATAAAGGATGCCAACCTATATATCAGCGGCCTGCCAAAGTCCATGACCCAGAAGGATGTAGAGGACATGTTCTCACGTTATGGACACATCATTAATTCTCGTGTACTTGTTGATCAGGCCACAGGTACGACAGGTGAATGACTTCCTTGCTTTTCAAAAATTCTCTCAAGTAACAGTCTTTGTTTGACAAAAAGACAAAAAAAAGTAGTAGCCACGCTGCTTGTATCAGAACAGGCGGTCACCAGCTGCTGTGTTGTACATAGGTGGGTCCCGGGGGGTGGCTTTCATCCGGTTTGACAAGCGGGCAGAGGCGGAGGAAGCAGTCAAACACCTGAATGGCCAGAAACCACCTGGAGCGGCTGAGCCTATCACGGTGAAATTCGCTGCCAACCCAAACCAGGCGAAGAACACGCAGCTCATCTCGCAGCTCTACCACAACCAGTCCCGGCGCTTCGGGGGGCCCTTACACCACCAGGCACAGCGGTTTAGGTAAGACCAGTTTTGAACGTTTACAGTATCTGACTTACTTTAAGCCATGTTTCCTTTTTCGTAAGCAATGTAATAAGTCAATGTGTCTGGTCACCAGTATAGTATGGTTGCCATTGCTCTTTCTGCTTTTAGTCTTTTGATAACTAATAACCCTCAGTTATCTACAGAGTCAGTGTACATAACACTAAGGGACATATGTTGACTTAGAAAAACAGCAAACACGTCATTCAAATCTGAAACACAAAGAAGCTGATCTTGCCCTCAGGCCGCTGTAATTATACTACAGCAGGAAAGCCTTGTTGGTTATTGTGCCAAAGTCTAAATTGCATTTTTCAGTTGGACACCCAGAGCAATCTTCGTGGAAAGAAACAACTTAGATGTTGATTTAAAAATAAATAAATAAATAATTAAACAAATTTAAGCATGGCGGACATAGGAATGTATTTTTTTAGTAATTTAGAGTTCTAATTCATATCACAGAAGTACATGTAAAAAACAAAACAAATAATGGGTTCATTTTGTTGTAAAAAGTCTGCTTTGAGCCTCTCAAATTTGCTGTTTTTCTTAGTCTTGTGATAGTTAATGGAATATCTTTGATTTTTGGACTGTTGGTCGAACAAAACAACACATTTGAATATATCAACTTGAGCTTTGGGAGAGTGTGGCGAACATAAAAAAAAAAAAATTATAATATAATAATTCTATTATTATTATAATTCTATAATAATTAGTTGCAGGTCATTATATATTCTTCAAGAAACTGCTGTGGTTGTGACAGGCTTTCACTTCGGGTACTCCACATATTCTCATTTCCAGGTTCTCTCCCATGGCTGTTGATCACATGGGCAGCATGGGAGGCGTCAGCGTCCCCGGGAACTCCACCTCGGGCTGGTGCATCTTCATCTACAACCTGGGCCAGGATGCCGACGAGAGTATCCTTTGGCAGATGTTCGGCCCCTTCGGCGCGGTCACCAATGTCAAGGTGATCCGAGACTTCAACACCAACAAGTGCAAGGGCTTCGGCTTCGTTACCATGACGAACTACGAGGAGGCGGCCATGGCCATCGCCAGCCTGAACGGCTACCGGCTCGGAGACAAGATACTGCAAGTGTCCTTTAAGACCAGCAAGGGCCACAAGTAGAGAGAGCTGGACAATCGGGTGTAGAGGAGAGATGGAAATGACCTGTGCCAGGCTTTTATTGTAGAGAGCAGGAGTTTGTCTGACACATATGTTTGGGTTTTAGTGTATTCAGAGTTAAATGAGATGTTCACTCTTCTGCACCTTTGTACTTGTCTAAAAGAGTGTTTTTTTTTGTTTTTTTTTTCATCTTTATACTCCTGCTTGGGGCTTGAGGACACATGGTAGTTTTAATTTTTAGGGAGGAAATGGAGAAGGCATAATCCCATGATACCCCCAAGATAACCTAAAATTATCTAAAAAGCTAAAATATTGTCTTATATGTTGCATGTATAACTGTTGGGACAAGATAAAGGAAGCCGGAAAACGGTCCTTAGCAGTGCACTGAAAATACGGAGCGCAAGGAAAGCCCTGCAGATTGTTCTCAAAGTGTCGACACCTTAGTAGATGATTTAGTCTAAAGAAGGGGAAAAACAATATTTTGCTCGTAGCCAGTGGTTGTTAGTGTTTTCTGAAAAAGCTACGCTCTGGGTCTGGGTCCTTGTCATAAGTAGATATAGATGCCTTAAATGATCATCCAGTGGACACATAGACCTACAATACCACTCACTGTCTTGAGTTAATCTAAGAGCAAAGCACTTTTAACCAATCTGTTTTAGGTTACCATGAATATCAGTCTTTTTGATGTTAATCTGATTTTTTTTTTTTTTTTGTTCACCCTCCTTCCAGGTTAACGGTTTTAAACATGACAAGCTCTGGAGGGGAATGTTTTCGTTTTTTGTTATCCCTGTGTAAAGTGTCTTTTTATTACGAGTTGTATTTCAGGAGAGTCCTGTTGAATATGAACCCCAGTCAATGAGTAGGGAATTAAAATGGACCAAAGGCAGGGAGAGATTTGATCCTGTAATCCCAGAAGAGTTTTCTGAGCAGATTTTCAAAAAGGTAAATTTACACCTTTTATTGGATCTTTTTGTTTTTTTGAAGAGGTACTAAGGTTATTAATGCAGACTGAGAGCAACATCACTTTCGCTCAGTTTGCTATTCTGTTTTCTCTTTTATTTGAGTTATTTTCTTTTTGTTTAAAACATTTTATTTTTTTTTCTTTCTGAAAGCATAGATTTTTGTTGTTAAACTGTAAGTTACAAACTTGTTTTAACGAGTGCTTATCTCAAGTTTGGAGATAAATTAATGGCCTTTGTTAACGGTTTAGAGTTGCTTTCTTTTCTTCCTTTCTTTTGTTTTGGTTGTTTCACTTTGAGCATAAACCATTAAATTTTATTTCTTTTTGCTGAAAGTTTTGTTTGGTTTGTTTCTTTTTTTATTTACCTTTTTAGATTTGATTTGGAGTTTTGTTCTATTATTTTTCAAGAACCAAATCTGCACTGCTCATAAAAGATCCCTGCTCAAGCAAAAAACAGGCTGTTACAAAAAGTGTTTCCACTGCAGGGTTTTAAACATCTGAGACAGGCTTAAATTATAACCATATGTGGACCAATGTTAGTTGAGATAAGGTTATTTAACCTGTACGCAGACATTTCAAGGGAAGTGACGGTCCAGCAGACATTTCATGAAGCAACTTTTCTGAGATAGCCAGATGAGTTTGAACCACTGAGGAGCAACGGAATTGGCAAGCTGAAGCTGTATGTTGGCCCTTTAGGTACGGTCGTTCAGCAGAGTCGAATGTCAGGCTTATTTATTGACCCAACCGTATTAATGATCTGGCTCAGTAAACCTGCATTTTGATACCCGGCTGATTTACATTTAGATTAAATCCGATTTTTCAACTCAATCAGATTTGTTGTGCGTCTACAGTGTTTTGATATTTCAACACAGCACATAAGTATACGCTGTTCACTTGCAGACACAGGCCTTTACACCCAAACTCATTGCTCTGATCTTTGCCTAATTGGGGATTGCTTTAACTATTGAGGGTTTTGCATTGACTTGCTCAGTAAAACACTTCTTATATCATCCAGTTAGAAAAGATCATTGGCATATCACAGCTCATCTTTTAATGAATTTTGGTAGATTCTTGTTCTACAAGGTAGTTGGAGCATTAGCATTGGTAATTGTTTTTGATTTAATCTGACCACAAATTCAACAGAGGAGCTGTTGGTGATAGTTAAAAGTAGCAAATGATTGTTAGGAACAGTACCTGCTCACACTTTTTAGATTTCAGTTTTAAAATCAGTTTTCTTTCCAACAATAGCTTCATTAAATGCCTCTTCAATCCCCAGTGTGCCCCCTCTGAAAGGAGTATTCCCATCACATGCTTCAGATTTTGGTCTTAAAAGTGCTTTTGATTTAGTATTTCCATGTTATTTTTGTGTCACAATCCTTAACTTTGTGCAATATTTCCTGACTTGCTCAAAGCAAGTAATAGAAAGTTGTTGTAGTCTTGGACTGTCATCTTTTTTTATAATTTCTTTTTTTCTACTGACGTTTTATGTTACTGCTTAGTTTTCTCAGCAGTCTAGTTGGAATTGCATGAAAGATGCAAGTGAATTTGTTTTAAGGGGCAGTCAGAATAAACTGCATTCCGCCTTAATTTATAAGTGGAAATGGTGTATTTTACATCCGAGGAGGCGCAGATATTTATTTGACAATGTATGCAGTCATACTTGTTACTTTATTGGAGTGTTTTTAATGATTGATTTTTATTTTTATTGGTTTTTGAAGGACACTAAGTTGAAGTTCATTAAATGTCTTCTAACATTGGATCATTTCAATAAAAATATGGTGGCTTTTCAAAGTTGAAAGAATTAAAAGTCTCTTCAGATGCTTATTGTGGATTTGCTGTAAGTGATTTTCTTGACAACCTGTTTAATGTATGCACATGTGAATGTTATATCATTGTTTTACTTGTTTAAGTTTAGCATTATTGTAAGGTGACAGTATTCCTGTTTTACTCAACATGATAACAAGCACAAACATAATTTAACTGACAGAACACAAAAGCAACAAAACATGATTTTGTAGCATCTGTGTTGTGGGTACAGGAAGATGGATTATCCATCTTGTAATGTCACCTGTCCTTCAGCTGCTCACGTGGTATTGGCCCAGTTATTACCTTCTGAGACCAGATGGGGGAGACATGTCTGCATATACAGTATATTTACTGTACTAGACCACCATCAACTCTGAGTAAGTTTCCTGCAGCACTTTTATTGTCTGTGTGCGTTTTTCATCTAAAGACACTCTTTAAGCTTATTAATAGAAAACATGTCTTAAAGTTACCAATAAGATGTCCTGAACCAACTCTTTGACGTGCCACTTGCACAAAAGCTGAACATTCTTAACTTTATGATATCCTGCTCACTATTTTTAGTACTTTTTACACATCATTGTGGTAGGAAATATAAAAAGGATCAGCCTCACAAATTTAACTTGTGTAATTACTTTCCTCCTATATTATTCAACTTTAATTATATATATAATTGTGTAAATGTTATACCAAAAGTGTGTGTATAGATTAAAAAAACAGCATGGAATACAACAGTTTTTTTATTAGAAAAAATGGAACACAAAATTAAAAGCATAGGTATAAAAACAAATGATCTAATCAGCATCATGTAAATATTCATACTCGTATATTAGCGTTTCTTCAATATCTATCCATAAATCCGTTATCTAACATAAAGGTTTACTTCATTCACAAAATGAATTTGCTCGTCATTTATCTGTTTCTCTGTACTTTCAAGTCTTTCAAGTTCTCAGAATTATTGTCAAAACTGAGATCATGTTAAGGCAACTCAAAACCTTGACTTAAGTCTAAACCTGCAATCAAACTTTTAACAGCCCTACTATGAATCTCCACTGAATCCACTATCTAATGCATGTCATTATCATGTCTGCAGGTGCATTCAGTGTCTGTTTAAAAACTGGGTACATGTGAAACTTCTGTCTAAACTGAATGGAAGCGTACAGTACATCAATTAATGAAGGTCTTTTTGTTTTCAACATGGCACAGGCAAAATCCATTTCCACCGCTAAACCCTGACACCACAATATACTTGATTATTGGTCTCATATACAACTAACAAAACTTGGTCTTTCCAGGCCTCAGATGATGGTCCCTTTGGTCCCAAGAGGTCAATCTATGAGGGCTGTACAAGGCAGTTTCCCTTGCTGTCCATCCTATAAATGTGTCTTAGACTTGGCAGAGGTTGTAGCAGGCCACAGGTCTTTCCAGCACGTTGTCTCCATCCACCTCAAACACGTAATCACAGCGGTGTGCAATGAGAGGAGCATCAGACATCGCCACGCTCTGATTACCAAAGGAGATGACTGTGTCTCTCTGTAGGGAACAAATCACCAACAATACAGTTAGTTAAGTAAAAGCAGTTCTCAGAGATTGGATTTTTCTAGAATTGCATTAAAACATGGTTAAAAACTTCTATATTTCTAGTATCATGGCCTAATCGAAAGCCCAGAAAATTATTTTCTGTATCCGCTTCTTACTAATGATTTAGCTACTGTCCTCCTTACCCTTTGGGGGCCACCTCCGTTATTGGCAGAAGGTGTGGGAGTGCCTGTACGAGCAGTGGCAGCTCTCTCAAAGTCCTTTTTACATAAATGAGCCATAATCCCAGCAGCTAAGGCATCACCAAGAACGTTGATCATCGTCCGGAACCGATCACTGAGAATGAGATGTAAAAAAAATTATTTACACGTTGCCCCAAAAGGCCCTATGTGACCCACTGATGCTCTACTGTAGATAGTGTAATCATTTTTGTGGGACTTACAGAACCCAATCGATGGCCACAATCAGCGAGATGTCAGCAGGCGGTAATCCCACAGAGGTCAGGACAATCACCATGGTAACCAGACCTGCTTGAGGTATCCCAGCTGCCCCAATGCTGGCTGCCGTTGCTGTAATACTGGTGAGACAAGAGTCGAGATGTTATGGATGTAAAATACATAGGTTTTCTATACAGAGAACCTATAATGGCAGGCTAATGAGCTCAGTTTTAAATTCTCACCTAATAGTGACCAGCTGGCCGAAGTCCAAGTCATACTCATTGACCTGAGCGATAAAGATGGCCGCCACTGCCTCGTACAGGGCTGTGCCATCCATGTTAATGGTAGCTCCCACTGGGAGCACGAAGCGAGCGATCTGCCGGTCCACACCACAGTTCTCCAGGAGACACTTCATGGTGATTGGCAATGTGGCCGAGCTGCAGAGGAAGAGAACAGGAGGAAATGGTCAGGTCTGGGTACTCAATGGGCTTCTTTAAAAATATGATCAATCAGAACTGGTAGGATGTCCTTAGACTACATATTTTTAAGATTGAAATAGAGAAAACCAAGACAACGAGCTATCATCGTCTCCTCTTACCTGGATGACGTGGCCAGTGCGATGACAAGAGCCTGCAGCAGCCCTCTGATATAGGGGAACGGATTTTTGCGAGTGAAGAAATAGAAGAAGAGAGGCAGCAGGATGAGGCCGTGCACAAACAAACCAGACAGGACTGTGATGAAGTACATGCCCAGCTTCTCTCCCAGGTGGGCCGGGTCGTGCATGTCCAGGATCTTCCCTGCCACAAGGAACACAATGCCGAAGGGGAAGTACCTGCAGGGAGAAGAGGGTCAAAAGGTTCAAACATGGAGCTTTACTCTACAAAGACATTGTTTTATTAGCCTGTGATGCATTTATTTACACTATGTGGCTAAAAACTATATATAGACCTAGTGCACATATTTTTGTTTTGGTGTGGAGCTGTTTTTTATTGTTTGGGTTGGGTGCCTTAGTACCAGTAAGGGACATGTTAATGCAACAGTATACAATAATATATAATATAATATAATGTGTGTGCTTCCAATTCTTTTTAAAATATTTAGTTACTCTTATTCATTATGACACGTGCACACATTGCATGAGCGTGTAACTCATAAAAACCTCTGAACCTTGAAACTTTATGACAACATGTTTGGGAAAAGACCTTAACTTGAGTAAAAGTTTTTTCAATCTTGGTGTGGAAGAATTTGACTGACCTCAACCCCATTCAACACCTTTGGGATTAATGGTAGTGCCGACAGTGAGCCTTATCTGGCCCCAGCATCAGTGCCCAACCTCATTAATGCTTTTGTGGCTGAGTGTGAGCAAATCCACTCAGCCAGGCTCCGGAGAGGAGACTGTTACAGCAGCAGATTAAAACCCACGACTTTGGAATGAGATGTTCAAATATCACATGTGAGTGTAATGTTCACGTGGCCACAATCTTTTCGCAAGTGTCCACCATTTGCGATTATTCAGCACTAATCTCATTTATGAAAGAGCCCCTGTGCGCCGTTCACACGAATGTAATCCATCTCAAAGTCGACACAACAGCTCCCTTGAGAAGCAGTAAGGACACTTCAATGACGCTGAGATTTATTTTTAGATATAATCTGGCTCTAAAAGGTGCCTGTTTTTGGATATATGTGCGTGACCGAATAGTATTTTTCTCCAATAGTGTTTTCAAAAAGTGTGTGTGAGAGTTAAATCTTACCACATGGCAGCGTTGATGATCTTCATAACACACTCGTTGATGCACTGGCACACGTTGACCAGCGGTGCTCCACGTTCTCCCATCTTCCCCAGCAGCAGACCTGTGAACAAACAGTACATTCATTTGTGCTTTTTTGTACAAGTCACCCCTGATAAAAGGTTTGCAAATTGTAACTAAACTTAATTAATGGTGAATAAATAATTTACTAATGCTTTATAGATAAGATATACACCTATATAGAGTAATTCTATTTCTGGCACCTTATATTTATTCTCCATTACATTTCAGTAAAATAAACAACAACATCTGCTGTTAAAGAATTCCAAGTTTTTTGAGCCCCTAACAAAAAATCAGTGTCTAGTTTAGTGTCTATAGTTAGGCCTTTTGTCATGTTTATAATGTCTATGAGTTGGTTGAGTTCCACCATTTCTCCTCTTAAGACCCAATAAGGTGAAATTATCCAACATTTCATAATTAGAGAACAGTTCAAAAAATGTACAAATTTGTAAAGCAGAACTTAACCTTTTAACACAATTTGATGCATCGGAAACAGTCCCATGTTATATATCAATTGCAGAGGTCATTTTTATGCAGAAACTAGTACGGTATATTTTACTGAAAAAACATTTGTACTTTTACTTAAGTAAAGAATGAATACTTCTTCCGCCACTGGTCGTTAAAAAAGTTATTTATCACGTTCTAATAAAATAATTAGCTTGTTCTAGAAAAAAGTTTGAAAGTCTTGATGAATTAAAGAGCCATGTTGGAACAACGTAAACACCTAGCTATCAGGGGATTTTTCACAACCTGTTAAGATTTAATAACAATCAATAAAGCCATTAGTTACAATTTATAAACTCTTTAAAGAGTTTTATTAGAAAGTAGTACCTTGAGGAATATACTTAAATAAATAAGGATTTAGATTTTTTGTGATATAATGAGCTGTGTGGATGTCTTACCCATGGTGGCCGAGAAGATGACAATCCCCAGTACGTTCATGCCCTTGCTGGTACTGGGGACGATTTTATACTTGATGTCTGGAGCAGGAGTGATCTCCAGGAAGACTGGGTGGCCCAGTTGAGGGTTGTGGTAGTCGGGCATGACATATACATAGTTGGCCTGAGACTCTTTTCCATCAGAACTCTGCACAATAGGAACCAGGTCTGTTCGATACTGGAATGAGATGAAAGAGAACAACCACACCAAGTTGTTAATATGTGGATATTGAACGTTAAATGAATGAACTGTAATGTACAATCCATATTGAGTTTCCTCCATCTGTCAACTCACCTGCTGAAAAGTTGCTTCAATTAGATTTGACGGGATCATGTTCCTGTAAAATACAACAAAAAGACAAATATATCAGATCATGTATGTTTCACAACTATTGTTCTGTTCATGTAGAGAGCTGGAAATCTTTGTATATGTTTTTATTATGAGGGTCAAAAGTCATTTTTGACCTTGAAAACAGTAGTGGATAAAATATTCTTACCACAAGGTTAATTTACTAACTGTTTCATGGAGTTGTAGACCAAAGCCACTACTAAATGGACATTGTTTTCTCAGCTGCTGTTTGATTGATTGTTTTTCCAGATTTCCAGACAGAATATAATAGCTAAATTAACTTCCTGTGAGCAGCTGCTACGTACAAGTTTATGCATAATATAATTTAATAATATAAAAGTACAACACTTACTGTATTTGTCTGCATGGACTACTTTTACTTTTGATGCTTCAGGCTCATTTGTCTGGTTATTATTATTTTTTGTACATTAATAACATTTGCTGCTTTTACTTAAGTAAATGATCTGAATACTGGCTGGTGTAATTAAGTCAAATTATGAATAGTCTGACCTCTGTTCCTGGATCAGTGTTCATTTTTACTATTTTACACAAAACACAAGATGAGCAACAAAAAAACAACAACAACAACTAAACCAGGGGATACACTTAGAAAGGCTCTCACATGTTATCAAGGCGGAACAGCCAGCATCATGTGCTAGGACTGTATTTATACAGCGTACGTCAATGACACTGAACTCAGCCACAAAGCTTGTCAAACACGTAAGAGGACTGAAATTAACACCTGATCTTTGGCTCGCAGCGGCACACCAGCCACAGGTCACAAAAATAAGGGTTTTAGAAGAAGGTATTAGTGGATCTCTGGCGTGAATGGCCCTGCAGTAAGCCTGAGCACACACACATCAGACTGCAGGCTCTATCTTACCGAGCGTAACATCACACCTTCTGGTAAAGTGCAGGCTTAACAGATCACAATTCTCCCCTATTCTTAGCCAACCTACTGCGTAGGAGTGATACTGTAACAATCTTATCTGATCTTCAGGATTCAAGGTTATTTTATTGTCATTTACAATGCAGGGTTCTATAATGAAATTCAGATATAATTCCCTTTATGCTACATGTTAAACAAAATACAAATGGCTGAATAAGTCATAGAAAAATACAAATTTGTACTGAAGAAGAATTTAGCAGCCTCAAGCACATTTTCTTCCATCTAATGTTGAAATGCTTCTGACAAAAAGACTTTTACTCGCTGAGAATTTCATGATTTCTGACTTGCCATTGTTTTGTTTTGATAACGTCAGCTCACAGGATACAACTGATGTCTTGAGATTTTGTGATTAGGGAGCTTCCTGTTC